AAAAGTAAATTTATTTTTTTTATTTTTCATTTTTTTAAATCTTTTTTTAAATCTTTTTTAATATTATAATTTATTATAATTTTCTTGTTATAGCCATGGTGGGGTGAGCGTATAAGGTCAAAATCGGGGATTTTCAACAGTTTGGCCTCTGGTGCTCCGTAAACTTCTTCAAACGATGAAATTCGTTGCAACATCGCTCCTTTCCATCTTGGGCTTCGCAGTATTTTACTTATGTCGGCGCCAACGCCAAACAGCAGCTGCCATTCGAAGCCGTGGCTGCGAACCCGCGGTGACATACCGATCAAAAGAACCGTTTGCGGCACTTGATCTGCAAATGAAAATGTTTATGGATGTTCCGTCGCTTCCCAATATTCATACACAATATGGCAACACCTTCCAGTCTCGTGCATGGGTCACGTTGCCCGCAGTCTGTAATATTGCCGCAGAGAATATCAGAGCTATCAACACGTCAAGAGACTTTGGCGTCGAGCCCATAAGACTCCCTGCCATGAAGTACTTTTGCGGAGAGGGTTTTATCACGACTGATGGGGAAGTATGGAGCCGCTCGCGGAAACTGCTCAAGCCATCATTTGATTTCAACAACCTGAAGGATATTGATGTCCTTGAACAAGAAGTCAGCAGTATGATCAAGAATCTGCCTAGAAACGGGTCGACCGTCGATCTGCAGCCGCTTCTTTATGTCATGGTAGGCGGTCAACAAGCCTAGTATAGCCACTTGCTAACGGTGTATCATAGTTTCTCCATTCTGCGTTGCATTTTGTCCTAGGTGTACATCCGTCAGACCAGGGGACGAGCGCTCCTCTGACAGCAGGTGAATTTGTTCAAGACTTTCACAAAGCTCTCACCTACAGCATGTTTCGAAGTTTCCTCGGACCATTTTGGGCTCTGGTTCCAAAGGACGCCTTTTACAAGACTTGCGCCCGCGCACATGGTTTCTTGGACCATTACATAGATCAGGCACTCGCCAAACCCGAGTCGCTGAAGAGCAGATCTTTGATACAGAGTTTAGCCTCGCAGACTGATGACCGGACATTTATCTGAAGTTAGGTTATATAGGCTATGATGGCGGCACAAGACACAACATCCGAACTTCTCACCAATGCTCTTTTCCTCCTGGCTCGCCACCCGAAGCATTGGACCGAGCTTCGGGCCGAGTTTATCAATAAGCCCCAGAGTTACCTGACCGCTCAAAACCTGCTTCGGTGTTCAATTTTGGGAAATATACTTTGCGAGAGTAAGTGAATCCCTCACTAGCCGACGTATCTGCTCCCACCGCTAAATTCTTTCTCCCCAGCCTTGCGTCTATATCCTGTATTTGCGCTCATGGGCCGTATTGCCTTGCGTGATACCACACTTCCAACAGGAGGGGGCCCTAAACATGCCAGTCCCTTGTTTATACCAAAAGACTCGCTGGTCGTCATGTCTTATTACGCTCTTCATCGTGACCCTGACGTGTTTGGCCAGGACGTGGAAGCGTTTCGGCCCGAGCGCTGGGCTACCATTAGCCCGACGCAGTGGGAGTATGCAGCTTTCGGCGGTGGCAACCGACGCTGCCTAGGGCAATCAAAGGCTATCATCGAGGCGTCGTATGTGCTTGCTCGGCTTTCACAGGCCATTGAAAAGCTAGGGAGTAGAGATGAGCGGCCATGGAAAGGTCAACTAAAACTGACTTGCAAAAGTGCAAACGGCTGTAGAGTAGCAGTCCATCGGTGAAGCCCTACACAGATGCTGGAAGGTACGACTGACAGCCAAGGATGAATAAAGATTAGAGCTTTCAGGGCAACACAGGAAATTCTTCTTCTCCCAAGCACCAATAAATTTACTGTTCTTGTTTCTTGGAATCTTATTCCCCCGTTCCAATTCCTCGGTCATTCCAAAGAGTGCCTCTCGGTCTGTGGTACCTATCGGATAATGTTTATCCTCAACCTTGTGGAGAATAAGGTAGTGAAAGGCCGCTTTATGAGATGCAGTGAATACTGAGTGGCGAAGAATGAGTCCGGCAAGGTTGTAAAATCAGCTCATTTGACCGGAGCTGCGCCCAGGTGACTGAAGGTCTTCTAGTCCAGTTCTGTGCATATAAATAGGTGCTCCCCCATCAACCTCTGGCTGGACGTCTTTCATCCTGTTTACTACTACATCATCATCTTTGTGTGCCTAGTATCTACGCCTCACACCAAACTGCAATCACATATATGCCCACCCATTGACCAAATTTGGAGAGAGTCGACTTTCAGATCACCTTGATCTACTACAACATCTATCATTACAACATCTATCATTAACAACATCTATCATTACAACATCTATCATTACAGCATCTATCGTTACAACATCTATCATTACAACATCTATCATTACAACATCTATCATTACAACATCTATCATTACAGCATCTATCATCACAACATCTATCATCACAACACCTATCGTTCATCAAGAAACGTGGTACGAGGAAAGCGTCAACATGGTTTATCCGGATCAGGTCAATTCCATCAGGTGTCAGCAAGAATTATTTGCGTTGACATATTGCTGGTGGGATGTTCATCCATCGAAAATACAAGCCAATCACGGAAGGATGGAAGCGGAAAGTACTGAATCCAGCTCCATGGTCGTATCACAAAAAGTCACCTGGTGGCATCCGCCTCGCGAGTTCCACAAATTCTCTAAGCTCCCAATGGAAATTCAATTCAAGATTTGGGATATTGATCGTTCTCCAGTCAGACATTACCTTTACGCGACGGGTGGGAAGGGACTGACGTTCTACGGTGCTTTTGATTGCGAGACCAAGAGCTTTTCGCCAGCACACCATACCTACTCCCAGAGCTCCGAGCACAGGGGTCACTTGGATCTCCAGATGGAGCAGATCCTCATCCCCGGAAAAGTGGATAGAACTCGTCCACCAGAGATGGCGGCGATGGGGTATGAAGTTATAGAGTTTGAAGTATTCATGGGAAGGGTTACCACATATCGCCCCTCAGTGCATGGCGACGGCATCGTCAACGAGGCGGGACCCGGGTATGCTTGGGTAACGATGAAAGAAGACATCTTCATCTTGGGATCCGGAGAAGAGAGCTCTGGAAAGCTGGCATGTCTTCAGAACCGGGACAGCAACAGTCAGGAGTCGTCATGCTTCGAAAGCAATCACTTGACCACCAAGATTCGGAGATTGGGCATTCCCATAAGAAGAGGGTGCAGTTGGCCTATGTTCGACCTTGGACCTCAGTGGTGCGAGGCCGATATCCGCACTCTGAGCAAAATGACATCTCTCCAGGAAGTCCTGTTGATAATCCAATGTGACATTTGCCGGTGGCGTGGTCGGGACCTTGCTGATGAGTACGGCTTGATCTACAACTTTGAGAAGTCTCTTTCGCGTTGCCATCACATACATTATGAGCAGTGCACCTGTTCCTCCGATTCCAATGACGTATTCCCGCCGCAACCTAGCGACTGCATATTTGCACAAAATCAACATGGGCGATACAAGGCCGAAATGACGGATCGCCTTGCCAAGGCAGGAATACCTCATGTCAAGGTCAACGTTGTGATTGATGCTGAGTTAACGGCGGCACGACTATTGAATCAAGAACAGTACATCTCTCAGTACTACCCATCACCTGGAAGTTTATTAGTGGGAAATGGACGGTTATGGCCATGGTGATGATTTTCTATCGATTTTCTATCGATTTTCTCCTACCTGATTGATGTCAGAGATATTTTGGAATATTCTCTCAGCTACACCAAATCTCAAATCAAGTATGTTATCGTGCTCAGCCCTATCAACGACGTGGCTATGGAATTCGATTTTGTCGCCCCGGCCCTCGGAATTCCAGCATTGCCTGAACCACTCGGGACCACTAGAAGTTCCAATCATGTGATCCTGCTCGGAAAAGAAGGCATCCACCTCCAGTTTGACACTACCTTGCTGGTTGGACGACGAGGCAGACCCGGCATCCATGTCTCCGGCCGCCAACATTGGGACGTACTTGTCCAAGTCTCCCCAAGGACCCCAAGCGTCAGCATCTGGACGCGGCCCCGCGCCACACTTTTTGAACAGGAGCGGGATCTCCTGACTCATGCCCTGCACGCTCTCGGCGTACGCGCGGTCAATGATGCGCGGCATCAAGGCGTCCTCGTACTCGACCATGTCGGCGTCGGCACCGGGCACGGGCGGGTGCTTTGCGGACCCCGCCGATGAGGAGACGCTCTGGAAGAGGTTTCCGCTGAACCCGACAACGGGTCCCACGGTGGAGTGGACGAATCTGGCAAGGCCGTCAAATTGCCTCATGACGGCGGCAGGTAGCGCCGTGGTCATCTTCATGGTCTGGACGCCCGAGTGGCTGGGGAGGATCCAGGGCGCGCAAAAGGCGACATAGGGACGTTCTGGATGGAGCAGATGGCGCAGGTGCAGCAGTGTGTGCAGGGCGTAGAGGGTGCCGGCGCTGTGACAGGCGATGGAGACGTGCGCAATGTCAAGATGGCGCAGAAGCGCCGGCACGATTTCTAACCAGGTCTCGAGGCGGTATTGGGAGTCCGCCTTGGTCGTGCCGCCAATTCCTGGCCGGTCGGGGTGGATGATGCGAACATGGTATTTTTTTGCGAGTTTGTCTTTGGCAGCATGGAGAAAACGGCTGGTATATGGATAAGCGTCACCACAGAAATAACAAGATAATTGTCAGCGCCTACGTGCACATCAACGGACCGCAGAATAGAAGAACATGTTCTCTTTCGGGTTGATCCGGATTGCGATAACCAAAATCGCTGTATGTGACTGTCAGAGGCTCACTGCGATTGGGTCCGGGTGGTATCGTGAACGACTGGGAGAAGCGCGGGTCGTCCAGGTAGACCTTTGGATCTGCGACGCTGTGCTGTTCTTGGCTGGAATTCTGGGACGTCTCCGCCCGGCCGGGCGTCGGAGACACTGACATGTTGCGAATCACGGCCTCTGCGGGTATTTGTTGCGATATATTTCAGACTGTGATATGGCGCGAAAACATTCTATACGATAATGATAGTCAATCAGGCAATGTCTTGTGTTGTCGATTGCTCAGCTCCATCCCAATCCATTGTTGCCCTTGATTATGTCGGTGCCTGGAATCGACGGGCGAAGGAGCTAGCGTCTCTTCCGAGTTTCCAGGGCAAATGTCTCATGGACCAAGAAGGCATCTCGTCATATCTTGTACAGTTTCCGCCCCATATATGTTTCAAAAGAAATCAATAATAGAATAAGAAAAAGAGAAAGAAAGTCTATTCAAATATACCGGGGGCTATATAGGCTAGCAGGTTCATTAATGGCGTGCTCCTTGACCCCTTGGCGAGATGCGGATGTTATCGTAGGCGCTATCAATAGCGACGGGAGAGCGTCCCGCCCTCACAAGTGCCCGCTATTCATTTAAGACGCAACAGTCCGCCGGGCTCTTCAACCAACAGCGTTCAAAGTCACGATTACAAATGAGTCTGAGAGCGCAAGTGCTTTGAGGTTATTTACTCGAGTCTACTCTTCTTTGGCTAGACCAATTGCAACATGGATCCCTCAGCCATGTTACCGCCTGGCCTCCCGCTGATCCACTGCGTCGAGATGCACACGAGCGGCGAGCCAACCCGCATCATCTATAATGGGTTCCCCAAGCTGACGGGCACATTGCTGGAGCAGCGAGCGCAGGCGCAAAAGGAATATAGCCATCTCCGTCGGAGAATCATGCTGGAGCCTCGAGGCCACGACGATATGTACGGCGCCATCTTGTGTCGCGATACCGAACTCACTCAGTCTGGCGAGGCCGACATGGGCGTGCTCTTTATGCACAATGAAGGTTTCAGCACCATGTGTGGCCACGCAACTATTGCCTTGGGGCGCTTCATCGTGGACAACCAGTTCAATACCGAAATCTTGCCATCAGAAAGGAGCCTCAGATATGATGCCGAGACCAAGACAACGCTCGTCCGCCTACATGCTCCGTGTGGCATGGTGGAGATCCAGGTACCATCACTGGGAGAGGGTCAGCGAGCCGACACAACAAGGCTCGTATCATTCACATCGGTCAAGTCGTTTGCAACGGGGTTGAATATCACCATTGAAATTAGCCCCGAATTTCGCTGGCCTCAGCTGGGCCAACGTACGAGCGTTACTGCCGACTTTAGTTATGGCGGCGCCTTTTATTGTTTGATTACACCCGAAGAACTGGGCTTCCCCGCCGGCCTCGCGGAGCCCAACAAGTCGCAAATGGGATTCGCAACGACCATGCTCAAGGCTGCAGCAAACTCGCGGCCTGAACTCCGAAAATATTTTCAACACCCTGACGCGACAGAGCTGGGGTTCTTGTACTCAATCATGTTGGTTGAGAGAATTGGCGCGTCCTCTGATGACGCGCAAAATTCTGTAGGTGAAGAGACGGGACTCTGCTTCTTTGCCAATCAACAGATTGATCGATCCCCAACAGGAGGGGCTGTAGCGGCGCGTGTAGCCCTGGCACACGCTCAAGGTCATCGCAATACTGGAGAAAGGTGGCGATACCAATCCCTCTTGTCGCGACATCATGGAGGTCTTGGGTCATTCGCAGGGACTATTATCGATAAAGGACATCTGCCAGCCAAAGATGATGGAAAAGAGCCCATTTCATTTGTTCGTGTCAAGGTTGAGGGTAGTGCGCACTATTCTGGGTATCATGCCTTTGTGAGCGAGGACGAAGATGTAATTGGCAGGAATGGGTTCTCGTTGATTGACATGGGGCTCTAGGCTGCTAACGCCACCCCTGTGATTGATGCGTGAATGCGCCTCTTCAAATGACTCGGGCCATGAGCAGCCCATGGTTCTGCAAGGCCAACCCAGGCCTTTTGAGCTTTTCAATTGATACCTCGTCCCACATCGGCTTGGGTGAGACGTGGTCAATTCGCCGGGAAAATACTGGTCTCATCGGCTGTGGACCATGGCCAATATGTCGGTGATAGAAACTCAATTCCTGTCACAGTTTCACTGGCATCCAGCTGCTCTGCGATCGATAGCATGTTGGTCGCAGATAGCCCAACCTCTGCATCAGACATGCTAGTTTCGGCATCGAGCGTCTGGTCAATAACGGCCGAGGCGTTACCTCGGTCGGCTCCTGGCGTTGTAGCATTTTCGGCCGACAGCGGCGAAAGGAGGCTCTTCAGGTGATCTAGCTCGTGTTTTCGCAACTGAGCAGGAATGCTCCCTCTGCGAATCAGATATTCAAAGATTGTGTGAATAGCCGCCTCATGGTCCAAGTCTGGGATCATTGAAGGAATGATGACGGCCGCAATTGTGAGAACAAATGCAGCTGAGAAAGCGTGTTCAAGGTCAAAGAAGAAGAAACTGCCTAAACCATCACGGAACATCAGTAATCTGAAGTTGACACGGCTAATGGGAGCAGAAAGCACCTAGCAGATGATGTTCGTGAAGAGTAGTCAGGGTGCATATTATATGCGAGGCCGATTGAATACACGTTTCGAGCATCTTTTTAATTGGACCGGAGAACTGCTTTTGAGTATCTGCTGCCGCGGCTGACCGCGTCAAATACCAACTCAATAGTTGAAGCACCAAGGGGCGAATGGCGAGAACCACGCACTATGTTCATTAGCCGGGAGCTGAGTTTCCCAGGGGGCCTACTAGTGAACAGTCATACATGGTGGTAAAGCAATATGAGACGATTGGCAACGCCAGAGACGGATGATAAAGTCCCCCAACGATTTGCCTCAACGACGCCCTTGATCTCTTGCGCAATACTAGCCATATTCCGCAGTACGACCTGCACCATTTTGAGGTACTCTGCTTTGACACTATAAACAGCTACGGGATGCAAGTCAGATCAGAGGTGTCAAATTCTGTGGGAGCGGGAAGTCGCTTTGGAAGTCTCTTACAATTGATTACCTGTGCAGTCATCTTGGAGAGCTGCACATTGATGCTAAAGATGACACAGCGCTGAGACCCGTCGATTTCTGAGGGTAGGCGGCTGGTTATTTCTACATCTTGGATCGAGCATGGAGCACCTATCATGGACGAAAGTTGTCGGTCAAGAACGTATACTGTCCACCATACGTTGCGGCATCGCTGAGCAGATTCTTGGTCCATGACGGTAGGAGGCATATCTCGATGAAGATCTTCAATGATGGAAAGGCTTAGCGCTTGATGGATCTGTTAGAAAACGTTAGAAAGTTCATGCTCTGACTTAGCAGGATCGAGTCATTACATAGCCATATGCAGCATTTTGCATGTCGACAGACATCAGGTACACTGCAACCATGCAAAGAACTTCGATGGCGAGAAGCGGTTCTCGCGTCAGGCTCACGTAGTCTGGCATAATGGACATGGCTTTTTGAAAGTAAACTGAGCCTGGTGGCGTGCCAGGAATTCTGAGTGTGGAGATGAAGCCTTTACTCAAAGCCACCAAGAGTAGATATTGAGCGAACCACAGTCTCGATGATCGAGCCTTGGATAGACCAAGTTGGTGAAACTCGTGCAGGTTCTTGACAAAATCGTCCTCGTCAAATAGACGGAGTAGTTGACATGCATGAAACTTGACGGTATTCACAAGGTAGAGGGAGTAGTCGAGCGAAGGCAGATCCCCAAGATCAGGTAAATGGTCTGTAGCAATGATTGGCCATGTAAGCTTATAGGTGCTGTTTTCAGTATTGACAGGCGAATCCACAGTGCAGACGTCAGGGAAGTGATGCCTCAGCAAGGAGAAGACACGCGTGCTGTAAGACGCTGATGATGATGGACCCATGAAACCTTTCACAAGTTGGTCAGCGAATGAACACACATCCGCCAAACATGAGGACTTACGGAATCTCCCGCTTCCATCTCTGACATATGAAGAAGTTGCAGAAACCAATGGATTCGATGAAACATCTGCGCTGGAGCGACTGGGCGACGAACCCGGAGTTGGAGACGGCCGCAGGCGGGACTGCCTTGCTGATTGGCCATTCTCTGGACCTGTTTGCGAATCTACTGCTATATTAATCAATCGCCATTCTGTAAAGTAAAATTCATACAGACGTGCCGTAGAAGACAGCCAGCGACAGAACCCGGTGGATTGCAGGACGTGATGTACTAGGTATGTACCTTTATCTCCTGCTTGCTGCTCCAACTGCTGTAAATATCGTACCGAGACCGCAATCTTGCGATCATCATCAAAGTGGCAAGCAATCTTGCGCTTGTGACAGTTTCCACATGGCTGCTTGCCTGAGCATCTTATCTTGCGCTTTCGACAATAATTGCACCTATGTTTGCGTTTAGTTGAGGTTTTAAGCAGCGGCCCTGAGTGCCAGTCAACCACATGCCGCCAACCAGCGACTACAACGATGGACTTACGCGTTTGAAACCCTTCTCTGGCTTGCAGGAGACTCTGGGGATTGCTGCATGGTATATGAGCCGAGCGCAAAGACTGCGCAGAGCTCGACGTGTTGGAATCTGCGTGGACGTCTAAGCTCCTACATTTGAGATGGATTTCATGAAGCTCCGGAGGGATGCTACTTGCTAGCAGCCCCCTGTAAAGTCACGTGTGATCCCACTGCAGCGATGCCAGTTCAGCGGTCTCTAGCGCCTTTCTTCTACTATGGTAGGCGCTACAACGCATGCAATGCACCTAGGTACTGTTTAGCATTTGTGTATTCGCCAGGATCAGCTCTATTTTGTTTTTCACGAGACCCGACATGGGGATCAATAGAATAAGCGCAAGAAAAATAAAAATAAAAATAAGAACTCAATTTTTCTCTTGCTTTTTATCATTCTCTCTCTTCAAAGGCTTTACTGCTTGGTTTAGCCAAAGTTGAAGTGGAAACATGCGAACGCTTATTATATTGGGCAGAATCCCACAAGTGTCGACTGGATTCTATATGATCTTCTCACCGTGTCATCTTCCAAATTCTCACTACTCGAGAGGCTCCGGAGGCGCGATTGCCAAAGTCCATCAATATCACTGGTCCTGATCAGGAACAAGCTCCTTCACGCCGCAAGGCTTGGAAAACAATCATCTGCACTCAAATATTGACTGAACAGTCGGGGCACTATCAAACCACGAGGCACAGGGATGGGCACTTGAACTAGTGGGCGAATACCCTGAACAAAACAGCGACTTTGGGCCACTTAGCGCCAAGCACGACATCGTCTATACTTGATCTGGAAGCATTTGAGATGACGTGACGAGTAACGCCAGCGACGGATGGGCTTCCGTCCCGTTTCCTATCAAGCGGCTCGCCAATCCGCCCTCTGTTCCTGGCACCCATTTCGTTGAAAATGATTGTCTTGAAATAAGCCCGGGAGCCACAATGGGAAAGCCAGTCTTCTTCAGTTTGTCTGTAGGGCTGTTTTGTCGTACGCCTCAGCCTTTGCACCAGCAATATTCAATAGGGACACGATGGAACGACTGGATCGCACCGAGACGAACTCCCCCAAGGCAGGTGGTGAAGCCAGCCTGAACGAGGTTGACCTTGTCACGAGCCAAAAGATGGATAGGAGAATGTTACTCAAGACGGACGCTGTCATACTCGTGCAACTTGTGGCCATTGCAACATTGGAGTTCCTCGATAAGAATTCCCTGGCCTACTCAGCTATCCTCGGCCTGCGAACAGATACCAATCTCGTCGGACAGCAATACTCTTGGCTCGGCTCGATTTTCTACTTTGGCTACCTGTCGGCGCTCCCGCTCTCTGCTTTTCTTGTGACACGCATGCGTGTTGGCCAGCTGGTCGGCATCTCAACAGCAGGCTGGGGAGTATGTCTCATGTGCATGGCGGCGTGCCATAACTTTGGAGGCTTGGCAACAGTGAGGTTCTTCCTGGGAGTATTCGAGGCATCAATCCTTCCTTGCTTCATGAACCTCTCGGCCGCGTGGTATAAGCGGAGCGAGCAGCCGCTGCGAACGGCATTTTGGTACAATACGTTTGCCGGAATTTTTGGTGGAATATGCGCATACGGCATCGCTACCCGCGACGCTCCTTTGGAGTCTTGGAAGATCATGTTCCTGATATATGGGTCCATTACCGTTGTCATTGGTACACTCTCAACCTTTCTCCTACCCGACAAGCCAGCCCGAGCTTGGTTCCTCAACGCCACCGAAAAGGTTCAGGCCGAGGTGCGTCTCAAGGAAAACCAGCAAGTTTCCGAATCTACCAATTTCTCCTTTGCTCAATGCTTGGAAGCCCTCTTATCGCCAGAGTATTGGACCCTCGTCATTTTCGCCATTGCTCAGTCCATTACCAATGCCGGTGTGACAAACTTTAATCCGCTGGTCATCTCTGGTTTTGGATTTTCGGCGCAGCGCACCACGCTTCTGGCCACACCTCAGGCAGCAGTCGCTTTCATTGCGCAATCCACACTGTCCATCCTGGTCCTATATCTCCCCAACATTCGCTGCTTGATTTGGGTCTTCTCATGCTTGCCTGCCTTGGCTGGCGCATTGATGATCCACCTGGTCGACCACACTACACAACGTGGCACCGCTCTTGCAGGCGTCTATCTCATGGGCTTCTACAATGTTTCCTGGGTCATGGCCCTTGCGCTAGCCACTGCCAATACCAGCGGAAAGACCAAGAAGGCGTTTGTAAGCTCTTCCATGGCGGTGGCCTACGCCGTTGGCAATATCGTGGGTCCACAGTTCTTCCGGTCTGATCAGTCACCTACTTATAAACTTGGCATATTCGCCATGCTCGTTTGCTATATCATCATGGCCTGCTGCGGAATTGCATACTGGGGGATTGTACTATGGTTGAACAAGAGCCGTGCGTCTGCACAGGCCAAGACCAGTACACCAGAAGGTCATTCCGTGGCGATGAATGACCAAGGAAAGCTTGACATGACTGATCGTGAAAACGTCAATTTTGTGTACGCTTATTAGAGTAATTACTCAAGGAAACAATCTTTTACATGTGATTTCTGTTCCATGATCCGTGGACTGAGGGCTTCTCTTCCATTACTCGCAAAGTATCATCGATCCAAATTCTCAGGTAGAGTGATCGCGTCTCGACCGCTTCTGATGACATCGTCCAACATCTCCAGCCTATCTTGGCCCCAAAATGGCTCATTCCTGTACGAGTAGAAGGGAGCGCCAAAGGATCTCTTCTGTACCGCTTCCCGGGTTAACGCTTGTTCCTCTTCCGCAAACCTGGATTGCGACTTGGCCGATTCCAGCAGGCGACGACCATCAAGCCCCGAAGAGTCCGCAACCGAGACAATGGTCTCCGGGTCCGCAATATTTCCTTCATCCGCCCAGACAGTCTGTAGGCCGCGATGAGCAAATGTCTGCACGGCGGGGTTATCGTGGCCCGACTCCTCAATGGCCGCCAGCAGCACCCTGTGCGCGATCGAGGGGTCAGCTGGGTAGAATTTGGGGTGCGAGACAATGGGTATGTCGCGTATCCTGCGCCAGCGCTCCATCTCCAACAGGCGATAGGCCTGCCGCTGGACAGAACGCTTCTTGACGGGGAGGCCGCCCGAGATGGAGAAGATGTGTAGAATGTCTATCGGCTTGTAAATGATCTTGGCATTATGCTGACGGGCCAGCTCGTGAAGTCGCCGGCTGCCCACATAGGACCATAATGAAATGAAAGAGAAATAATATTCAATGACGGGGCGTGCCGACGTCATTGCGGAATTGGATGAGAATAAAAATGGGTTTTACCGAATGAGCTTTTGACCCGGAATGCGCCTTTGTTAGATTGTCAAACATTGGTTGTACATAGATGGAAGGATGGTTCATGTTTTATTCCCGATTGACTTATTGCACCCCGTCGGATCACGTCATCCGACCCCCTGCGACCCCCTGCTGTTCAACTAATAGATATTGCTCAACTGCCTCTAAGGTCGGCCAGCGCCAGTTTCCAACTATGCATACAAGCATCCACCATATGGAATGCGCTGAGTCATGTATGCCTATATAGTCTGTCTCAAAGCTCTGGTTGACGGCGCAAGATAGAAGTGGAATTGTCTAGGTACCTATGGATGAGGAAGTTTGGAAACCCGATCATGAGTTTCGCATGTATTGAAAGCAAGAAAGAAAGTCAAATCGAATAGACAAGCCTCAATCTCACATCTGAAATGTAAGACCATACTCAGTCTCTCGTTCCATTTTTTTTGATTGCTACCCGCTATTTTGGCATCATTTTCCCAGTGCTCAATCCGTGCTTTGACGAATTCCCAAAACGTCGCAGCCCAAGCTGGGTCATACCTGGGCAATACGCGCCCCCGAGTCCCACGTGCAGGATTTCCCGCAATGGCTCTATACGTCTCAAAGTACTCCTCAAAGTCGGGCATGAGAGTCCAGAAAGCACCGCCGTCGCCGCGTGTGGCGACCCTGTACGCATCCCACTCCTCCATCCAGTCTTGCGGTGGGAGATCGGCTCGTCCGGCAAAGAAACGGGCGACTGCGACCGCTTGCCATTCAAATATCCTGATACCAAAGCCTCCTGTGACCTTGTTTCTCATCAATCAGTAAAAGGTGTCCGACGATGAGCAAAAGCTTCGAAACTTACCATTCCAACAAATGCCAGGCTAGGGTTGTCGCTCTTAAAAACGTGCTGATAGAGTCCGGGAATCCTGTTGTTCACAGATTTGATGCCTGGCAAAAATGGAAAGCTAAAGTCGTACCCTGTGGCAAACAGGACCACATCCACGTCGTCCGCTGATGAACCATCAGTAAAGTTGATTCGTCCCAACTCGGGCTCAAAGGATTCGATCTGTGATCGATTGTCAATGTGCGGGTGCAGAAATGGTGCTATCCCAAATGCCCCGGATGGATTACGCAGAGCTGATATTATGGGTAGCTTTGATACTTTTCGGATATCGTGGAGAGCGTCAAAGGCAGAAACCGAGCCCCCTACCACTACCACTTTCTTGAATTAAAGTTTAGCGGTTGACATATTTCCACGTTCGACACATCGATTTACCTTGTCACGAAAGTCTTCGACGCTGCGAAAGTGCTTGCTGTGCTGGATCCTTCCAGGAAACCTTTCATCGTACTCGAGCATTCCTGGAATCTTGGGAATATATGGCAGATAATAGTGACCCGTAGCCACGACGACTGCATCGAATCTCTCCTGCCACCAGTAGTCTGTCGATTTATCCATACATGCCTTTCTCAGCGTCAGAACCCATTCGCTATCCACATATTCTGCCAGCTCCACCGCAGTGCCATAGCTGACGAGGCCGGTATGATCGCCACGAGTGAAAATACCTTCTACCCACTGGCGCATCACCTCTCTGTGTCTGAATGGTGCATCTAGACCCCATTGTGCGCGAGCACGTTCGGAAACAGTGGTGGGTATGGGTTCTTGCGTAAAGGACATGATGTTAGGTGGAAGGTTGCTATGTAAATTTTCGTGGGCTCCTGTATCCGTGTACCGAGGCGAAGCATCATCAATCCTTGGAGTTTCACAAGGAAATTGAGATGGAATTGTGACTGGCTCATCTGCATGTTGCTCCAACAGATCCCGAAGATTGGGAATCCTCGGAGCCGGGTTGGATGACAGGACCCTTGGAGCAGTGTAAGTCGAGTGCTCATAAGCAACCATTCACATCACGTACCATGTACCGCCTGCTACATCTTGCCTTTCAAAGACTCGGATTGTATCAAAGCACTGTTCCTTCACCAAGGCATCTGTGGTGATTGCACCAGCGTGGGCCGGCTCCTATGACAGCCACGCGGCGCTTGAGATTTGATAGCGGCATTATAGACCCACAAAGCGAAATCGAATGTGTTGTGTGCAGCTTACTTTCAGTGCATGGCTCGGGCACGTTTCAATAGGATAGAGGGATTGGATGAGTAGACTACAAACATGAACTCTATGGTACAGCTTTTCCTCCGGCATGACCCAGAGTGAGCAGCCGATAGGTACCTGGTATGACAAATTTGACAGTGGGGACGATTTGCGCCGAAACGGCACCGATCCGAAATCGTCAAGCGTGAAAAGAGCTACTATAACCAAGGGGGCCCCCGGGAGGCGCAGTCGTGGTTCCGTAGTTCCGTAGCTTCATGGTTACGAGGAGAGCCAATTATACGACAGCAAACCCAAGTTAAGCCTGGTTGTATCGTAAAATGGCGCCATGAGCCCGTCCCAAGGCGCAATTGTTATCGATTTCGTCAAGCCTCACAGATCATAGTGCAACTCCACTTACACCCGACTCCCCGGCCAGCACTAAAAACCGGCCAGCGTACAGAGCCTCCCGATTAATTCAGATCAAGTGCAAAGACTCTGCTAATACGGAGCACCAGAGGGCAAACTGTTGGAAAACCCCGATTTTAGCCTTACTGACGTTATTAATTAATTTTATTATTATTACTCTTTTCTTTCCTTTCTCTTTTTTCTCTTTTTTCTCTTTTTCTTCTTTTTTCTTTTTCTTTTC